CCACTTCTCTAGTTGGTATTCTCCTCGTAGATATTTTCCTACCATGTTGAAAATAAGCCTTAAATGTATTTTTGAAAAACCACGTATTTCAATGCAGCCTCTTCTAATAATGTCTCACTAAATCAGGATGATGAAAGGGAGGCTTATCTCAGCTTAGCGGGAAAAACCTGAGTTTGTGGACTGTTTGTAAAGGCGTATAAAGGTGTGACATCTAAATGTACAATAAGATCATGATTTTATACATGGAAGAAAGAGAAAACGGACTATTTCAAGTCAATTCCCGAGAGCAGAACTGGGGCTAATGGGTAGAAGTATAAGGACATATTTTACTTCAACCTGAGGGAATCCCAGCTAACAACGTACATAACTAGGTTTTGGCAGAGCAATTTACCTTGTGGGGGTGATGCTGTCACTAGAGGTGGCCCGCTGGAAATCAGCTCCTGCATCAAGAGAAACTCCAGGCCCCTTTCTAAGAGGCCCCTGCAGCGGAGTTGGTGCCCACACCAAGCCTGAGTCCACGCCACCTGGCATCAAATCCTGCTCCTCCTACCCATTAACTTAGTAACCTTGGGCAAATTACTTACCACCTTTCTGCCTCAGTGTCCTTCCCTGTAATAGGGTTGATCATTTTAAGGAATTGGTATTTAGGAGACTTTTAAACTTAGAACAGTAAGGGACAGGTACATGGTAAGCGCCATGTAACTGTTAAATATAAGTAAGGAAAATGTTTTCTAAGGCGTCTAAGATACTCTCAAGTGTCTCCTTTGTGCTAAGCAGTAAACCAGCTGGACACAGACTCAAACTCCATGCAGCTCATAGCTTGTACTGGAGAAAGAGAGACAGGTGGCCAGGCCACAGCCTGGAGAGGGCTTCCATGACAAGGGGAGCTTGGGCAGGGGGCTCACATCGGTACCTAGAACTCGGGGGAAGATACGTTGTGGACCAGGGAGGGAAGGAGACGGTGGGAGATGTTCCTGGAAGAGGAAGACACGTGAACCTGGAGAGCTGGGGCCTGATGATTCCCAGCCTCCTCAGCTGCTGCAGGCACTTACAGGCTCTGCTAATTCAGGTCCATGTTTTTTACAGCTGCTGAATCATTCACTCATTCATTCATTCATTCATTCACTTAACTTTACTAACAGGTAAAATCTAGAACTTCTTATTGCAAAAAGGTATTTTTAAATAACCAAATAACAATTTTATTTAGTTAGAAACATGTGTAAGTGTTTCAAGTTGTTGCAAATTCTGATCTTGTGCTATCTGAATAAAACTGTTGGGGGAAAACAGTATTTATTCACATAGTATCCTTGTGGAAAATAATGGATATAATTACAATTCCACTTTTTAATTATTTTTACTGCAGAGCTTAAAATAACCAAAAGAATTATGTGACTATTATTATAATGTATAATTTTCTAAAAGTTTTGTTTGAAGGACATCTTGGTAGAATCATTTTCTTTGGTGAGCTACAAATGGTGAAGCTCATTTGGTATAAATTAACAGCTCTGATTATGCCTAATCTTAAATTAAAAAAAAACAAACACAAATATCAACATGTTCTAAAAGGACTTATCCAGGATAGCCTGTCATTAAACTAGGGGGGAAAATATGAAAAAAAAAAGAGTTTGGAAATAAAGAGTGAAATATCAACAGCTGACTCCCTACCTGTAACAGTGAGTACATTTCCTATCAAATTCAGTGGAATGTCCTAAACTCTTGTTGAGTTCAGTTCACAGAGACTTGCCCGGGGCTCTGTGAAGTCTGAACATGGGGTGCTCCAGAGCCCATTTCCCCTGGGCTGAAGTTGCCCCAAGATTTACCTAGGACATTCATCCCATTCGGAAAGACAAGGATATTTCTTTAGAAAGCATTGCTTGGAGACCTAGAAGTCTCTAGTAAAGGTTTATATGGAGATAAGGCAGTATGTGAAACAGAACAGTGTCATGGGGTCTTCCTTACACATCACAGATGCCCTAAAACAACTTTGATGTGAAGTGCAATAAAGAGAACAAAGTTTTAAGGCCACCAGAACCCCTTTCTCAGGACTTTCAGATACAACAGACTACCTAAAAATGTCCATCTGCTCTGTTTCACAGTGCATCCACCCATACCCTCCCCCACCAGTGACCTTTCTAGAACCTAAATGAGAAAGAGTTCTCCTTGTGTAAAATTCTATCATGACTTCCCAGGAGCTTCAGGAAAATGCTCACAGTGCTTAACGTGGCTTAGGGAGGCATGTGGTGTGCACACACCTTGCTCTCCGGCCTCATGTCTCACATCTTCCCTTATATCAGAGTGTGCTTTCATCATGTCAGCTTACAGTGGCTCCTCAGATACACCAGGCAGTTCCACATCTCCTTAGTGGAGCACGTGTTGTTCCTCTGCCAGGTGGGCCCGAGTTGGCCTGCGGACCCAGCTTGAGCAATTCCTCCCATGACCTACCATCATTCCCTCTTTGTCCCATCTGTGAACTCAGTACTTGACTCTATCATTGCATTTCTATCATTGTCTCAACTAATTCTTTTCACCTCTGCCTTGCCAGTTGGACCATTAATTTCTAGGATGAAAAATTAGTCTTGTTTATTTTTGTCTTCTGAGTAGCTGGCATAGCTTTGGATGAATGCATGCAGTGTTGATAAAAGTCTAGATTCCAGGGGCCACTGTATAAGAGGGAGGAAAAGGAATAGAAATCTGAGAAAAAGCCCCGCCAATTCCATGGGGAAAAACTAACCGAGGGTGCCCACCTTCTCATCCTTCAGGGTGGCCAGTTCCACCCCAGGCTGAAACAGCCAGTGGTGAATTTTTCAGATGAAATAATATTTTGCAGCTAAGCAGGACTCCAGTTCAGAAGTAGTTCCCAACAATTTTAATGTGACTGAAGTTGACATACTAAAATTCCATTATAGAAATTTTAAAGGTGAGTTAGCTAAGAAAAGGGCATTTTTGTAATTCCTTGCTATTTTAAATTTGGTAAAACTATTTTTGACACTGATGCCTGTGAATTTTTCTTTGTTTTACCTCTGTGATCTTCCTCTTTTCCTACTCTAGTTATGGTAGGATAAGCATGAAACTAAGTATACAGGTAAAAAGAATGGGCAGCTCTGGTGTAGACAAAAGATACAAGTATCAAGTGACCAATAGTGTGTGACTTGTGGAGAGTCATTTAAAGTCAGCCAACAGAACTTTTAAGTATCTATTAACCAAAAAGCCCTACACGTCTTGGGGGCCAAATGAGAAGTGGGCTCTTCCCTAAAGACAGTTACTGTCCATCTACTCATTTAACATGAATGTGTTAAACTTTTACTGTGTGCAAAGCACTGGACAAAGCACCAGGGTGCAGTGATTGGGAACAGAGGCAGAGATACACTTAAGTAAAGCGTGTGAGAATGAAAAGGGTATGTCATCAGAGAAAATGAAAATAACGTCCAGGGTTGAGAGGAACCTAAGTTATATTCGGGAGTCGGAAAGAGCCTGCCTGTGGAAGTACCTTTGCATCTGATCCCCTGAGAGTCAGCCAAGCGAAGAGAAGGGCCGAGAGCATTCCAAGAGGAAAGAACAGCAAGGCATATTCAGGGGACAGAAAGAAGGATTTTTGTGGCTGGAACATGAGATGGGCAGACAGAGGTGAGATGAGGTCAGAGAAGTGGGGACATATATAAGTAAATTGTGGAGAAAGAAAATACTATTCATCCCAGGTACTGTGTATTTTATACATGTATTTCATTTGAACTTCATAATCACTCTTTATTGCTGCTGTCTCACCAGTAGACACTACAACAGAAAGGTAGTCCATCTGCATTCATTGCGAAAGCAAGGGAAGCATCCTAAAGACTAACAGGAATTCTCAAGGTATCTACTGGATTTTCAGGACTCGGCTCTTTAGGTTGAGCTGATGACTATCTTTGCTATTAGAGAAAAAGACAGTTTATAGAGAAGGAAGTGTGGGCTTCAGAAAGGTTAAGTAACATGCCCAAGGTCACACAGCTTGGTTCTGGAATAGCTGGAATTGGAAACCAGGTCTCTCTCACTCTGAAAACTGTGCCTGCTCTTTCCACAACAATGTGCTTCAGGCAAAATAAAATAATTGCTATCTTAAAAGTATTCATTGTTGTGAAAAAAGCAGGAAGGGGTATTTAATGTGAGTAAAGAAAAATTGGATAGTGTTACAAGTGCTTCATTAAAGCGAATCGATCTGGGGCAGGGCACATGGTCTATTAGTTCCTTCTACCTCCAAAAACCTGTGGTTCCGTGAAAGGTCTCTGTCCCGCTAAAGGCAAGGGCTCCGGCTTATATTGTTCATAGTTCTACCTGAGCTCATTTTTATTTATTAAATGCAATAAATTGCGATCTATGCACATAAAATTAATAATGACAGGATGCAGGGAGCAGGACATGTTTATTTTCTTAATAGCAGCCCTTTTTGATAAGTAAACAGCTAATTTGGGGTTTGTGACTAAATTTCATTTGCTTGTAGTGAAGTTGCTCCGTTTTACTAAAGCTAAGAGTCATCCTTTCTATGAGACAGTTGCCCATATCCTGAAGCCTCTCATGTGAATGACTTGAATTACTAGCAACAAAACACTGCCTTCTCTGTGTACGATTGTTTTCTTCAGGTTTATTTCTTGTAAGGAGACATAGTTTTCTTTGAGTAAAAGATTCTCTGGAATATATAAACAGGCACTTAACCAAGAGCACAGTTACAAAGCAGCTGCCATTTTAAAAGATTTACTTTCTGTAGCTGGAATGGAAAATTGCTGGCACAGCAGTTGGCAGGACAAGGAACCTTTCTACCATAATGAACCCAGTTTCTACCCTGAGGGTCTCTTCCCAGCAACCCTCCCTCGAAGCACTGTCGAAATAATCTTCTTAAAATCCCTCTTTGATCCTCTTACTTCCCATTTTAAAAGCTTCTCCTGCCTTCCCACAGCTGAAGGGATAAAACGCAAAGCCCCCATGCTCACATTCAGAAGCTTTACCCTGGGCTTCCATTTATCTTTCAGGCGCTGTCTCTGATGGTGCCCATGTTAGAAACTGGCCTCAGCTCCGCCTGCCTGGATGGTTGTATTTCTCCCAGCTGGACTGTAAGAACTTTACTTGCCTGTCTCCTCATCCTACCACCGCTCACCCCTGTACCCACCTCCAGCAGCATCTGCCCGGCACTTTGCTTGCCCTGCAGTAGAAACTATCTAAATTGTTCACTGAGTCGTATTTATTGAGCTCCTAGTATGTGTTAGGCAGAGTGAAAAAAGACAAGGTGCTGCCCTCAGGGAACAACCAGTCTTATTGTTTGATAAGCCATGTGATTGTGGCTAGCCTACGTGATTTAAGCCTTTGCTTCACAAAGTATGTTTTTTAGGTGAATGTTATTAGCATCTTCTGAGAGCTCGTAATAGCTGTAGAATCTCAGTCCCCCACCATCCATTCTGCATTTACAAGATATTCCCATGGTCTGCATTGCACAGAAGAGTACAGAAGCTCTGCTTTAAGACTCACAGAGAAAGGAGAGGGGGGTCAAAATGGTGAAGTATGAAGATCCCGATATCATCTCCTCCCAGGGACACACAATACTACAACTACATATAGAACAACTATCACTGAGAATGACCTGAAGACTGGCAAAACAGATTTTCTACAACTAAGGATATAAAGAAAAAGCCACATTGAAATGGGGAGGAGTGGCAGAAATGTGGCCTAGTCAGAGTGCACACCCCAGGTGTGGTGTCTTACAGTCAGGAAGGATATCAGAACCCCAGAGGTCCTTCCTGAGAATCAAGGAAAGTGTCCAAGACTCACATCGGGCCCCCTCACCCAAGTGAGTTGTACCAGGTAGAGGAGCCACCACAACATTTGGCTGTGAAAACCAGCGGGGCTGCATCCAGAAGAGCTGAAGGGCTGTAGGAAAACTAGACTGTACTTGTAAAGGGCTCACACACCGGCTAACTTGCTCTAAGCCCCAGAGAAGAGGCAGCAGTGTGAAAAGCTCATGGATCATACATGAAGGAGATACAGGGACTAATTTCAGGGTGACCGCTGGAGATGCAGGTGTGTTTTCCAGGCATGGAAGTGCTATCAGGCCCCTTTTTCTTTTACTCCTCTTTCACCTAGTTGGCCTGATGCCAGCAGGTACCATAGCTGACACTCTCCATTAAACTTGCTAACACCATTTGCCCCACCTTGTGTTCCCCAGAGGTCCCACCCTACCCAGGACCCTTCTAAAGTGGCCCCTGCATCACCACACCTAGTGGGCTGCCTTGGCCAGGAGTGGTGCCTCTCCAAAGTGGCCCTCACTCTGGGACACCAACCCACCCATCAGCACACCCCAGTTGCAGCTGGGCCTCCAAGACAGTCAGCCTGGGAACCAAACCACTCATCAGCATACCCACAGCTATTGAAACTCTTCCACAATAGCAGGGAGCACTTAATCCACACAAGGGAAGCCCCCAGAGCACCTGGGTCAGGTGACCGGGGGATTGAGTCACAGTTCCGCAGAACACCATCTACATAAAATCACACTTTCAAAATGGGAGATATAGGTGCTTTACCTAATGCATAGAAGCAAATGCAGAGAGTCAGGCAAAATGATGAGACAAAGGAATATGTTCCAAAAGAAAAAAATAACACAAAACCCTAGAAAAAGAACTGAACAAACGGTAGATAAGCATTCTATGAAATAAAAAGTTAAATGTAATGGTCATAAAGATGCTCACCAAATTTGGGGAAAGAATAAGTGAAACCAGTTAGAACAACAGGGAGATAGAGAACATAAAAAAAGAACTGACCAGAACTGAAGAATACAATAACTGAAATGAAAAAAAAAAATTCAGTAGAGGGGTAGAGGGAATTGACATCAGCTCAAACAATGCAGAACGGAGCAGCAATGTGGAAGACATGGTAGTAAAACTGTTCATTTGGAGCATCAAACACACACACACAGAACTGTAAAAGAATAGTTTAAAGGACTTTGGGGATGATAACATGTTCACATTTGTATTATAGGAGTCCCAGAAAGAGAAAGAGAGAAAGGGACAGAAAATCTGTTTGAAGAAGCAATGGCTAAAACTCTCCTAAGCAGATGAAGGAAACAGACGCTGAAGTCAGGGTAGTACAGAGAGTCCCAGCACTGTGAGCCCAGACAGGCCCACACCAAGACATGTCAAGATCTACACATGTCAAAAGTTACAGATAAATGGAGAATCTTAAAATAAGTCAGAGAAAAACAGCTAGTCAGCAGAAACTTTACAGGACAGCAGGGACTGATGATATGCTCATGGTGATGAAAGGGATAAACCGACAGCAAGTAACAATCTACCTCGCCGGGCCGTCAGTCAGAAATGAAAGAAAGAAACAGCTCCCCAGGCGAGCAGAAGCTGGAGGAAATCATCACCACTACATGGACATTATACAAAATGTTAAAAGGACTTCTCTAAAGGGAAAAAAATGCTAAAACTATAAAAAACAATATATGAAAGAAAAAATTCAGATCATTTATAAAGCTAGTAGAAATGTTAAAAGACAGGAGCAGTAAAATTATCTATGGGGGGACCCCCAAAACACTGAAATTACCTCCTGGAGGGAAGACGCCTTGTAGTACAGGCTTCTCCTGCTAGGTGAGTGTCCAGGAACCCACCCGTATCAGTGTATCAGCTGGCATAGTGGTGAGAGGCTGCATTTGGCTGCAGTGAACTTTTTTGAAGACTCGGTACATTTGCCCATTTCATGATGAGTGATTTATGAGCACACCTGCCCACACAACACTGAGTGTTCAGCAGTTTCAACATAAACGGTAGGACCTCTGTGTCCCCTGCTCCTGTTCACCCGACTTCACCCCAAGTGACTTTTTTGTTTTTCTGGCTGAAAAAAGTCCTCAAAGGGAAACACTTTGCCGACATGGAAGAGGTAAAACAAAAAATTGCAGAAGCACTAACAGGCATCAAAATTGACTAGATCAAACACTGTTTTGAGCAGTGGAAAAGGTCTTGATAGGTGTATTACATCAAATGGAGAGTACTTTGAAGGTGACTGAAGTTTAAACATGTAAGAATAAATACAAATTTTTTAATAAATAAATTCCTGGTGTTTTTGGTACCACCTTGTAGATCCATAATAATCAGGGGGTATGCATGAACACACACAAAAGATGTAAAATATGATGTCAAAAACATATTAGTGGGTGGACAAAAATGAATTGCTTTTAGGGGAAAGGATTGAATGTGGGAGGTGGGGGTGGGTAGGGCAGGGGAGAGGGATGGGAAAATGGGGACAACTGTAATTGAACAATTTGAAAAATGAATTGCTTTAAACCTTCTCTCCTTTGATAGAACACTAAAAAATGAATTGCTTTTAGAATGCATTCGACTTAAGTTACCATCAACTTAAAATGGACTGTTGTGTCCATTTTATATGTGATGTCTAAGTTTTTATACATGAATTTCATGGTATCTACAAGCCAAAAGTCTATTAGAATAGATACACAAAATATAAAGAGAAAGGAATCCAAACATAACAGTAAAGAAAGTCATCATATTAGAAGGAAAAGAGCAAGAGAAGTAAGGAACAGAGAACTACAAAAATAACCAGAAAACAGTGAACAACATGCCAATAAGTACAGACCTATCAATAATTATTTTAAATGTAAATAGACTGTGCTGCAATCAAAAGAGAGGGTGGCTGAGTAAATAAAAAACAAGACATACGTATTCTGTCTACAAGAGGCTCACTTCAGATTTAAAGGCATGTATACACTGAAAGTGAAAGGATGAAAAAATAAGCAAATGGAAATGAAAAGAAAGCTGGGTTCGAAATATTTATGTCAGACAACATAGACCTAAAGCATAAACTGTTACAAAAGCAAAGAGTGGTATCCCATAGTGATACAGGGATCCATCCAACAAGAGTAGACAACACTTGTAAACATCTGTGCACCCAAGATAAGAGCACTTACATACATTAATCAAATATGAACAGACATACAGGGAGAGAATGGTAGTAACACGGCAATAGGAGGGGATCTTAACATTAATGGATAGATTATCCAGACAGATAAAGACAAGGAAACATTGGTGTTAAATGTCACATTAGATCAGATGAACTTAATAGATGGAAACAGAACATTTCATCCAAAAACAGCATAATATGCATTCTTTTCCAGTGCGCAGGGAACATTCTCCAGGATACATCACATTTTAGGTCACAACACAAGTCTCAACAAATTTAAGAAGATTGAAATCATAACAAGCACCTTTTCCAACCACAATAATATAAAACTGAAATCAATTACAAGAGGAAAACTGAACAGAAAACGCACACAGACATGCAGAAGATAAACAATGTGCTACTGGAAAACAATGGGACGAAGAGGAAATCAAAACATAGCTGTGACAAACGAAAATGGAAACACAACTTTCCAAATGAAACATAGCAAAAGCGGGTCTAAGGGGGAAGTTTGTAACAAATCTCAAGGAATAAGAAAAATCTTAAGCTGTCTAAACTTTTATGTAAAGAAACTAGAAAATGCTGGCTGGTGTAGCTCAGCGGATTGAACACGGACCTGTAAACTGAAGGATCACAGTTTGATTCCCAGTCCGGGCACATGCCTGGGTTACAGGCCAGTCCCAGCAGGGGATGCACGAGAGGCAACCATACATTGATATTTCTCTCCTTCTCTCCTTCCCTTCCCCTCTAAAGATAAATAAATTTAAAAAATCTTTAAAAAAAGAAGCTAGAAAATGAACAGCAAGCAAAACCCAAAATTAGCAAAAAGAAGGAAATTATAAATATCAGAGGAGAAGTAAATGAAATAAAGACTAAAAAATAGAAAAAGTTAATGAACCTAAGAGCTGGTTCTATGAAAAGGTAAACAAATTAATAAACCCATTAGCCAGAGTCATCAAGAAAAAAAAGAGAGGGGGCCCAAATAAATCAGAAATGAGAAGTTACAGCCAACACCACAGAAATACAAAGGGTCATAAGAGAATATTACAAACAATTATAGGCCAACAAATTGGACAGCCTCTCTGGTAAGTGACTTGAATTGTCAGGTCTCTGATTATACTCATCTTTATTATCCTATTTCCAAAAATCC